GACAGGATACAAGGGAGAGGATATCTCTTAAGGTTGGGAAAAATGGTACCTTCTTGGGTATCATCAAGTCGAGCCACTGCAGAAGTTACCGGCCCTCTGAACTGCCTGTGGTTTCTTGTAGTGGCGGCTGTTTTCTCGGGTAGTTGGCCAGTATCATCCTGCCTGCCTTTCCTCCTCCTCCCAGCCGGGCCTGTCGCAGCTCAGCCAGGCACCAGGAAGAGATGCCACTCAGAAGGAAATGACATGCCCACTGGCCTCGTCCCTTATTTTCTCTGCCACCCTCCCAGCACACATTCACACACAACCAAAACGGTGATGCATTAAGGCAAGGAGATGGAAAGGTCTTAGAGATAGGCTGGCCTCACTTCAGGAGCTGCGGGGGAGAGCAGACCATTGTCTGGTGTGGCTCTTATGTGAAACTCAATCCAGAGCACACCTCAGCTGACAGTCCCTGGTGCACTCCAAGTTGATGACTAGAAAAGCCACGCCACGTTTGCAGCAGACTTGGTATATGTCTTACTGTGTTCTCTTGCCTGCTGTCTGATGTGCCCATCTAAGAAGTCGTGGACTTCAGTTCTGTCTCGGTAGCAGGTGTCATCAAGCCTATTTGGAATCTGGGGCGTATGTTTGCTTCTAGCCCCTGGGATCCTGCTGGGATAACTTCATTCTTGTTGATTGGCATCTGCCAAAGTTATTTTACTCTTTCTCCCCAGGGGCACTATGGCTTAGAAAAACTGTATTGCAAAACAAATTGCGCTGACATTGATAAAGTTTTATTAAGCGTCTGCTCTGTGCCAGGCACTTTTCTGAGCACTGCCCTCGTGGAGCTTGAAGTTTAGAATGGAGGTGCATTAACAATCAGAATAACTAAGTGAAGTGTCAGGTTGAACCACGTGAAATGACCATTTTTGTAGGTAAAAAATGGACAAATATTGACAGTTTCATATGACTCAAAATAATCTATTCTGTTTGTCAGTAATAAATGCTAAGGAGAAATAATAAAGCAAGGAAGGGGGATAGCAGGTTAAGGGAGAGGCAGGTGTTTGGAATTGTAAATAGACGGGACCAGAAGACCAAGGAGGTGGCACTTGAAGGTGGCTGGAAAGCTGTCCGCAAGAAGGGCAGTGCAGGCGAGAGGAGCGTAACAAGAGCGGAGGCCCGAGCGCGGCTGGTGTGTGGCCGGAGCAGAGGGCAAAGGGCAAGAGAGGCAGGCGCGGGGAGCTGGGGCACGGAGGACCTCGAGGGCCAGGGAGGGAAAACTGGATTTTACTCTGAGAGCTGGGAAACCTTTCTGGGCTTCTCGATAATTTTACTCGGAAGCAGAGAGAACCTGTTGAGATGACGGCTGTGACTAAGGAGTGCTCGTTAGGGCCCAGGAGCCGGCGCCCAGGCCGCTCGGAAGCTGCGCCGGTCCGGGAGGCGAGGCGAGGTGAGGTGAGGTGAGGGCCGCGTGTGGCCACCTGAATCGTGAACATTTCTGGAATTCCTCTGGTAGAAGAGCCTTTTTTAAATACCTAGAAAGATGGCAAATGCTTGTTCTGTCCTTGCTCACCTGAAGGCCGGCTGTTTTCTCTCTCCGACTGTCTTGTGTTTTCATGGCATTAACCAAGCTAGGGGCAGCTCTGGTGAGTGCTGGGAGGAGAGGCCCACCAGCCAGGCTGCCCAGGTTGGGAGCCTGTCGTTTGGGCGTACATCGCATGCACCGGGGCTCGCAGCCGTAACAGAGCCACTTTCTGTCACCCTCCCGGGGGACTGCCCTGTGGGCTTATAAATAGTCAAGCTGAGGATTTTGACAGACTCTTAAGCATGGCACCCTTTTATGATGTCTCCCTGCTGTCCTTATTCACAGATCGATTGGCCAGTAGCAGCCACAAGATTTTAAGAAGGCCTGAAGCACCTCAGGAACCTTATCTGAGCTACCAGCAAAGAGGACAGCTAAGGAGAAGTACAGGGGTGAATGTTCCTGAGTGTTCTGAAAAAAGGGGTCTGATGATATTAAAATAGTAGTCATTTTAAAACTGCTGGCTTCCCAGAAGGATCTGAGACAGCCACATTATTTTGTGCATCCTACAAGCCAGAGCCCAGCACAGGGTGGCAGAGCTGCTATGTGACAGCAGACTCTGTGCTTTCTGTCTTCTGTCCCTAGCCCCTATCCAGTGCAGGAAAGGGCGTGGAGAAAAGGGAACCCTGCTGTGATGATGGTGGGAATGTAAATTGCTAACAGCCACTCTAGAGAAGGGTGGTTAAGCAAAGTATTCTGCCATAAAGAGAAACCCTTACAATTCAAGGGTTATAATGCATATTAAAATGCATTAATTTTACTAGTTGGACTTGTTTAAGCCACATAATGCAAACGATGTATGCAATTAATATTCAAATATAAACACTCTGGCCTTTTAAAAGGGAGAGCTGTTAATACTCCCTTGCCCACAGGCTGCGTGTCTGGTTTCCAGCGCAGTAACTTAGGACCTGAGGGAGGAAGCTCCCAAGGTTCCATGTGCCTTGGGTGAGGTTTCCTAGGGAACAAGGTGGGAATTAATCGGGATTTATCACAGGCTTAGAAATACAAAAGAATTAGCTCAGTCATCGTAGATCTCCCCAGCTGAGTTACATTTGTTCAGATGGAGAATAGTTTATTCTTTCAAGGGTACTAATTGTAGCCTCCTCTCCCCCAGTTATGACACCTTTCAAAATATCCACCCCCCCCCACCCCCCCCCCCCAATAGGCCGGCCTGTCTATTCATAACTGGTAAACTTTACACTGCTTCTGCTTCTGCATGGAAGGGGCCTGCCAAGGGCTTTAACCTGTTACCTAGCGCTAGTCTGTGTTCCAGGCTGTTGTTAGGGACACAGCAAGTACTCTTTACAGACTGTGTAACACTCACACCCACCTTATGAGTTAAGGATTAGCTCATTTTACAGGTGAGTAATCATACTTCGGTTCAAAGACTTCTCTAAGGTCACCCAGCTCATAGATGGCAGAGCTTGGATGCAGACCTCTATCTTACTCCAAACCTAGAGACCTTAACTACTAAGTGACCGACCACCTGGTGAGTTGTTGCTGTGGTCCACCATCTTGCTGGTTTGTGTCCTAGCCTCACACAGGGACTACAGGGGCCTTTCTGCTATGTGACTTCTAGCCAGACATCCAGACCAGGATTGCTGGTCCGGGACTGTGCCTATGCCAGAGCACCAGCGCATTCTCCACAGGCGGCCTGATCCTCGGGAGGATTTGCTCCATGCGCCCGGTCATTTCTAACAGCATCTCTCCAGGTGTCTGGGCCGCTGCTCCCTTCACTTACGCCTCCCAACACTGGATCGCATTTCCCTGGCTACGGATCACCGCCACCTGGCTCCCAGCACCCCGACCTACGGAGAAATAAGGGCTGCACAGTTAGAAGAACTTCTTTTGTGAATCGCTCTTCTTCAGACCGTGAGCGTGTAAATGGATTCCCTCTGTTCCACCCCTGCTAGAAAGCCCCGCGAGGCCTTCAGAGGAGAACAAGGGGATTAATTTGGGAAGTAGGGACAATCAGACCCCAAAACCCACTCTAGTGCCATGATCGGGGAGAAGATGCTCTCCATGACAGCTGTGATCTGTGGTCTGAAACACAACCTTCCTCAAACCGAGTACTAGCACAAATGCAGTCGTGTTCTTTTTGTCAGGAAGTTGCTGTAAATGCCTAGGAAGCTTTGATGTGGTAACCCCAGAGGATTTCAGTAAAGGTAGGAAAAGAGAATTTAGAGTAAGCTTAAATTAAGAGGACAGAACTGCTAGTCCAATGTATCTAAAAAACAGGTCTTTTTGACTGTGCGTTAGCAATCTTGATTACGTAGGTGACATTCTTCAAAGAAAACTGTTTCTTCCTGCTACGTCGAATAAAGCCATCTTCTTCCCGCAGCACCCTTTCTACCAAGAAAGTTTTGTCGGTAAGACCTGAGGCCGCTCAGTTCCCTTCGTGGTCCCGGGATCCGGACGCCCTTGTAGGCAGCTTCTCCCGTGCGTCGGGGAGGCGCTCCCTCCCAGGCTGCCGCAGGCACAGAGCGGGCACCTGAGAACGACTGTCTGTGCCTCACTTGCCTTGCCTTATCCCGCCCTGGAGTAGCTCCTAACCCTCAGGGCTGGCAGGAAAAAGGCCTCTCCATTTCACAGTGAGCAGCCGGAGGGAGAGAAAAATGGGCCTTTAGTATGGCAGTGCTGTGGTGGCGTCAGCACAGTGGAAACAGAGCTTCTTAGTGTCTCCTCAGAGCTGAGCTTACTTGAAAGCACTCGGACCAAAGGTTCTTACGGAGTTTGCAAGTGGCCTCTCAACGTATATGTAAACATAGAAGGTCTCTGTCCTAGGTATGCGGTTGGTTGCTGGTGGATGCCAGCAAACAGACTCCTCGTGGGCTTATCTTTAAAGCATGACACCCAGCTTAAGATGTGGTCTGTCGCATTTAACCATGGTTCTCCGTGAATTCCCTCACACCGGGGTGGGCAAACTTCTCCTGCCAAAGGCCAGAGAGTAAATATTTCAGACTTTGCAGGCCATAGGGTCTGCAGCAACTCTCCCTGTGCTGTCCCCGCACAGAAGCAGCCATGGGCAGTCCATAAACGAATAGGCATAGCTGTGCTCCATTTACAAAAACAAGACCCCACTGGACCTTAGTTTGCCAACCTCTGCCTCAGACCAAAAGGGAACTAACTGCTCCCTGCAGTAAGAGCCCTGTGGGAAGAAGTAGTAACAAGGTTACCTGCTTTTCTAGAAGAGAAATTATTAGTGGGTTCACATTCCAATATGTACAAAAGCAGCTAAAAATATTTTCATTAAAGTGATTGATTGTCTTGATCAGGCCAGATTAGCTGCCTAGAAACAGTCCCTAACACTTGCTATTGCAGAACCGATGCCATTGCCCAGAGCAGGCAAATCAAGTAGCCATTACACAGACTGGTGCCGTTACCCACTTGCCGTTGGAGAGCCGTGGGGCTTTCACCTGTTCTTTCTTCTGCCCTGCAGGCCTCTTCCTTATCCTGGGTTTGATACTCTACCCTGCTGGCTGGGGCTGCCAGAAGGCCATAGGCTACTGCGGACACTACGCGTCGGCCTACAAACCCGGAGACTGCTCGTTGGGCTGGGCCTTCTATACCGCCATTGGGGGCACGGTCCTCACTTTCATCTGCGCCGTCTTCTCCGCACAAGCAGAAATTGCCACCTCCAGTGACAAAGTCCAAGAAGAGATCGAAGAGGGGAAAAACCTCATCTGCCTCCTTTAGTTTGGAAGAGACATCAATGCCGTTTTCTTGCTCGCGTAACCTTGTGAAACACTTCACTTCCGGTTCTGTCGTCTGAATCAAGTGAAGAACTAGCCTTTACCTACCAAAGCCACGTTCCACGGCCCTGAGCCTCGCCAGGACCAACGACAGGCAACACCCAGCGGCACAGAGTGACTGCACAGGAGGGCCACAGTGCAAACTGTAAGGGATGGGACGTGAAAAGAGTACATAAACCCTGACACGCAGTTAAGTTCTGTCCGACTCCATCTCCCCCCAAGCCTCAAGGAAGGATGATGGTCTAAACCATTACAGCAGCAGTTTCTCTGGTAACAGAAGAGACCATTGGCCAGATCTGCAGGCTGTTGAGAGACGTTTCTGCACAGGTTGCATGCCTGTGAGCATCTCTGCCTCAGAGTGAGGTTTGGGGGTTGGTGCTTTTGTTTCCTCCTAGTTCTTTCTAACTGTCTCAGGTGGAGACTGCAATGAAGACTGCACACCCACCGGGGAGAGGATGTGCGCTGAAGGGCCGAGCAAGACACTGTCGGTTGCTTAGCTGACCCGAGGGACAGTGTGGAATTCTGTGGTGGGACTTATTCTAGGCTGAATTCCAGAGTCAGGTGGATCAATTGATCTGTCACTCCAAGAGTTTAGAAATTTGAGAAAAGGAAGAATAAGGACCTGTCCAATCATGAGAATAAAAGTACAAAATCCTGCTAGTGGAGACAAATTCATTCCACTCCCCAGCAGCCAGGCTAGCACCAGTACTGGCCCAGTCTCCTCCTCCACTGGAGATCACATGTTGTTCTTCTAGGGCTAGGACTGCGCTTTGACTGCCAAAGGAAACCTCACTCTGTTTCCTGATTCCAGGGACAGAGGTCTCCGAGCCAGCTGTGGCTCATTCATCTGGTGACTGGGAGAGCTTGCCAGAATCTCAGCACTTGCAGGGAGACCTTTTCCCACTGTGTGGTAACCATGCTGTATTCAGCTGTATTCCTACCCCCCAGCAGCAGCAGGATGGCATTCTGTGCAGAAAAAGGAGCTAGAGATGGGAGTTAAGTTTTTCTAGTTACTGGTGTTGGTCCTGAAAGCAGACTGAAATAACATTAAATTGCTCTAACTGGTGAGTTACATCAAAGGCTTCATTCTCAGGAAAGCACAGAGTAGACAGAAAGTTAATGCAAAATGAGAGCTAGACCAAGCTCATAGCACCTGCCTATACCTGTTTACAGAATGAATGAAACACCACTATTAAAAAGGATTCAGGGGCTTTTAATCTAGTTTCTATAAATCACCAACATAATTGATTCAGGAAAATGATATTAGCCATCACTTCAGACTGACTTTGGAACAAATCAAAGTGACCAGAAAGAACTTAGTCTGGTATTATCCTGAGCTTCAGAATTGCAGAATGCGATAGAAACACTTCTTTGCAATTTAAGCAAATGGAGTGGACCTGCCAAATTTCTGGAAGGACTAAAAGGACAGGTCTCTTTAGGCTTATGAATCTGCTTACTTGAGGGCTTGTTTTGTTTTGAAAATTTAACAAATAACTACGAACCTTGTTTGGGCAAGGCATTGTAATGTGCTAAGCACCACCAGGCATAGAACCCCGATTCAGATTTTACAACACTGCCCTGAGTAAATCATCTTAAAGCTGTGTGAGTCTAAAACCATGCCTTGCTGCACAACAAGTAATTGCTTTAGTTGTTCCATTCCAGTTTAATTAATTCCATTCTAGCCTTCGGCCTGTACCAGAAACCATGTTTATCTCACAGATAATGAGCTAAAGGGCAGGAAGGCGGGGGCATGGAACCAGGTCTTCATGAGCTCACCATTCTTAGACCAAAGTTCAGAGTAAAAGCAAGATGTACATCTGTGACTTCCAGGGGTATCCTCAAGGGGTATCCTTCAAGGGGTATCCTTATGTATCCTCATAGCAGCCTGTCATAAGGGCTCAGGACACAAACAATAACTGTGTCGGACGCCACACAGAAATAATAGGTTATGGCAGCCACTGGACAGGACCCCTGTCCCTTACTGTGCATCTGTATGCTCTAACCAAGTTCTGATGCCATCACAGTCATTGCTTTTTAACCCTTGGCAATAATTTTCATTTAAAAAAAAGCAACTCCCTCCATCAGGCAAATAATTTAAAACCCAATTTTTTTTTCTTAAATTTATCATCACAAGATTCACCCTACTTCTTCTTCTATACAAGACAGAGAACCCACGTTACAACACTAATTTTACACTCTCACTCTCCTCGCAGACAAGTCATAAAGCTTAGAGGATTCTCTAAGCACGTCCATCATCTTTACTGCCTGACTGCGCCTTCACCGAGGGGCGGTGGAGGGCGGGATGTTCCTAGGTCACTCTGGTAACAGAAGTCATGAGCGAAAACGTGACCTCTCTTGGCCAGAAGAAAGTCACCTGACAGTGTTTACTTCATCAGTCTGAATGCTACAGAAGACCAAAAAAAAAAAAAAACCAGCACATGCACACACACAAAACCGCAAACCACTAAAAGCTGCTTAAACACTGATTTGTTGAGCAGAGCAGAGATGAAATTTCTCTAGCAGAGAAAGAGTAGAAAGGTAATGTGGGCCTTTTAAACCTTTAGTCCATTTAGCCAGGCTTCAGTTGGGATAGATGGAATATCAAAATCAGGCTAGTCTAGACAAAAACTGCATGGCTGTTTAAAAACCACTGCATAGGAGGAATGTGTTAGAAGGAAATAGATTGAAAACAATTAGACAATCGTTGACCCGCAGCTATTTTTCTAATACATTTCTATCAAGCGCCTCAGTCTAAAAATCTAATATACCTGGACCATTACTACTACCAGCAAGTCTTATTTATTTTTCGCCTGCGTTTGTGCTTAAAGTTTTGTGATGGGGCTGGGCTTCTCAATGAACTCCAAGAAGGCAGAAATGTTTGCTTTGGAGTCTGTGGATTTTTTAAACCTGTGTGCTGATTCAACAATGTTACATTAATTGTGTAAGGGTTTTTGTATAGTTATCAAACATCTGTGGTGTAGTGATCTTTGCTAAACATGTATTCTGTAAAGTGCCATAGTCTTTTTTATGTGTAGCATATTTAAAAAATATATATGTATATTATACATACACAAGTCTGTGTGAAAGATGTGCAATAACAAAGGTGTATGTATGTTTTGTTTTTTGGAAACTGGACAGGAGTCAGAACAGAGATTGTTTCTGTTTTGGCAAAGGAGAGTTAAACATTTTGCCTTCATGGCCTAGTCATTAACCCATAACAATTTTAATGCTACACAAACCTATGTGAAGAAAAGACTGGTATGAAATCATTTTTTCCTGGGTCTAAATTAAAATAATCCCTAGATTTATGTGAAAGTTAAGCCAGCAAGACAGGCCCAGTTAATGCTAGTCTTTCATGTGAAATGTGAAGCTGCCACGTTGCCTTTTCTGTTTGTGTGATAACTAGTAGCTGGTACATAATCACTAAGGAGCTATTTCTTAACATGCTTTGATAGACCACGTTAATGCTAGACCACTATTTAAGGGCTAATCTCACACCGTCTTAGCCGTAAGGGTCTGCTTAGAACAGACCTCTCTGTGCAATAACACGTGGCCACTGGAAATCCCTGGCCTGCGTTTGTATTTGGGCAGCAATGACTCCCAAGGGCCAAAAGAAATAAAAGCACGACTGGGATTTCTTCTGAGACTGTGGTGAAACTCCTTCCAAGACTGGGGGGTCATGAGGTGCTTTGGAGGAACTCAGCACCACTTGATATTCAGCAGCCACTTGAGCCAAATATAAAGTTGTATTGCCGCTGATGGACTCCACGTGAGCCTTTGAATTTCTGCTTATCCTGTTATATTGTAAACTAATACATTATTTGTCTAGCATTGATTAGGTTCCTGTGCGTATGTATTTTCACAACATGCTCCCCTCCCCTCCCCAGATATGAATTAAACCAGATTTTGCAAACTCATTCTGATTCAAGTCTCAGTATATTGGTTTCAATATGATGTGTATCATTTCATCAAGAAGATATCTACCAATCAAATTTGAAAGACTAACTTATATGTAATAGTGATGACAGGAAAGAAGATATTCAGGTATTTTAACTGTGCCATTCACTGGTAACATATATACACCTACCTTAGGTTAGCTTTAACTTCAAGATAAGTATATGTTTCTTTCTTGGAGAAGCACTGATGTAATTATAAATAGGGAGGAATAAAACCCTCTCAAATACTATACAGATATTTTAAAGTAAAGAAATATGGAAATGCTTCAAAGGATTTAAAAAGCTTTATAAACAATGTAAAGAAATGTGTATAACAAGGGAAAAGTCAACAGAAGGACACAGTCACCCCTTCCAACAAAAATACCAAAGTTAAAAGCCAGTCGTGGAGTAGTTCACATCCACATTTCCTGAACGTAATCCTGCCCATAAAAAACCTCATCTAGAAGCAGAGTTCTAATTTAGAAACTCAAAGAAGACGCTAACAACCCTTTTCATAAACTCTTACCCACTCTGTATCACGTGAAGCACTTAGTGATAGAATATACAAAAATAGCTATTTTCCTGATCTAGGGCCTGTGACAGCTGAAACTACTTGTATGCTTTGGCTTCTAAACATACCTGACACATGCCTGATTTCTAATAGGAATCAAAATTAAAACTGACAAAATCACCCAAATCAATAAAGGCAAGATTCTTCCATTTATGATCTAAATAATCCAAGCAAAACTGGACATTTTCAGTTGCTTTTTCAGCTCTTGTTACATCTTCCTCAAAAGTTAATCCACAGGAGAAAGGACCCTGGCTTTAAATTGCGGCACAGGCTGGGTAACCTTCACCTGTGCTTCCCATTTCATCATTAGCAATTTTGCTACCGGATCAACTTTCCATGACCGATCTTCCTGGAACACACTGCATTCAACTTACTCCTAGCTCACCTTAAAGCCTTTGCCTAACATAGTAAGAGTCTTGACTATTCTGGGCATTTCCTTTAAATGGGTTATTTCGGTAGCTTCCAATAATTCAGTACCTTTTTAGACTCTCAAACACTAAAGGATAAGAGCATCAAAGCAAACTTTCAGCCTACTCTCCAAAGCAGCAAGAACCAATAACTGTCTTGATTTCAGGGCCCTATCTGGTTGCTTAGTCACTTGGCTGGGGCCATCCACTGCTGCCCCTGCTATCTTCTTCCTTACAGCTTCCTCCTCACCCTGGAGAGCTCTGCAAGATAACTCTTTAAGACATGAACAGCTCATTTTGCTTAGATACACAGGATGTAAATAAAAGCATAAATGAATAAGAGGAAGTAGTAAAACCACACGGAAAAGAAAAATCAATCAAATAACTTGTAGCTCTTAGTAGCTCTTATGGCTTTTTATAGCCAAATATCCTGAAAAACCTAATACCTATGCAAGCAGTCCACCAAGTGCCTGTGTTTGGGAGAAACCACTAAAATTTATTCTCAAGAGAAGGAAGCCTGAATTAAGGCAGGAGATAGTGAAGACAACGAGATGAAGTGAGTTAGGGAGAAAGAAGGGACAGCTTGGGGACTGACTGGAAGCAGTCAGGGGAGGAGGGGAAAGAGTCTAGGACGACTCCCAGGCATGTGGTTTGGGCACTAGGCAGAAAGTGGTGCCATCACCTACATCAGGAATCCATCGGGGACAGAGACAGTGAAGGTGTTAAGCTTCAGCTTAGGCTGCCAATGGCAAAGTCCTGTGCGCAGCTAGGAATATACCATGGAGAGAAGACCGGCTTGGAGACAGAGATCTGGGAGTCTTCAATACACATGGACAGACAATAAGAATTTTTAACCATTATGCACTTTTCATGTGCAGGTGCTGGGCTAAGCACTTCTTTTAATTCATTTATTCATCAAAACCCTATGAGTAGAAACGATTATTATCCTCATTTTACAAATACATTAACTATCACCCAAGCAACTTAACTGAGGTTAAGTAATCTGCCCCACATTAAAAAGCTAGTAAGCCAAAGCTCAAATACAGGTTTGACACCAAAGTCTACATTCTCAAACAGCTGTAGTTTCTTTCTACCAAGAATGTACCGGGTGAGAAGGCAACATTAACACAAACCCCCAGGGGACACCAACATCTCTGCATAGTAAACTTAGAATAACCTCCAAGTTCAACTCCAAAAAGACCGCACCGTAAGATGACAACTGATAAAAACACTGCTCCCTTTCAGAGGAAAACCTGGTAATTTTCCATACTTTTCAAGATGACAACATACATACCAATTTGCTCAATCCTGAAAACAGAAACTAAAAATTCATCAAGTATATGACAGTGGTAAAAAAAATGACAGTTTTGTTTTCTTATTATAAATAATCTCTTAACAACGAGGTCCTACTGTACAGCACAGGGAACTATATTTAATATCCTGGGATAAACCATAATGGAAAAGAAGATAAAAAAGAATGGAGGGCTTCCCTGGTGGTGCAGTGGTTGAGAGTCCGCCTGCCGATGCAGGGGACATGGGTTCGTGCCCTGGTCCGGGAAGATCCCACATGCTGCGGAGCGGCTGGGCCCGTGAGCCATGGCCGCTGAGCCTGCGCGTCCGGAGCCTGTGCTCCACAACGGCAGAGGCCACGACAGTGAGAGGCCCGCGTACCGCAAAAAAAAAAAAAAAAAAAAAAAAAAAGAATGTATATGTGTGTATAACTGAGTCACTGCTGCACAGCAGAAATTAACACATTGTAAATCAACTATACTTAAATAAAAAAATAAATTATAAAATAAATTAATAAATAATCTCTCATCCAGGATAAGCAGCTATTATGATTACATAAGAGGCCTATTTTCTTCATAGCCAATCTAATAATTAAATAAGGATTTGTTTTCAACTAAAGTTTCTCCAAACACACACACAAATGCCAAAGACTATTTATAAGTTAGCACTGCTGTGAAGAGCAGGCAGCAGGTACTTACCCACATGTGTGGAGCTAGGCCTTGGTCTGGAGATTTCAAAAATAAACGTAATTTTTTTCTTGATTACTGTATATTTTTCTAGGGTCCACTGTCCCTAAAGGATGGATATGAATTACTGGAAATGTGGAAGGATGAAAAAGAAATAGAGAATTGGAGAGAGGTGGCACCATGTGGCAGAAGCAACCCCATGCTTGGCAAGAGTCACGGGACACTGGTCTAGCTGCCCATCACCACCACTCACTAAGTGACTGGGATAATTTCCTATTCCTCTATAAAAATGGGGCCAATAATAGAAATACCACCATAGGTTTGGTGTGAGGATTAAGTAAGTGATGTATGTGAAGCATTTAGTATAGTCTCTGATATACAGTAAGTCCCCAATAAGTTATTATTAGAAGAAAATTAAAAGAATCTTCTGTCCAGACTGGTATCACTTGGAGTTGATCTTAAAAATTTTAAGAGTTGTTCTAAAAATTGTGAAAAATAACATAACCTGTTGTTAAGACCAATCTAGTTTTGGGACTTCTCTGGCAGTCCAGTGGTTAAGAAACCGCCTTCAAATGCAGGGGATGTGGTTTCGATCCCTGGCCAGGGAACTAAGATCCCACATGCCGTGGGGCCACTAAGCTCGTACGCTGCAACTACTGAGCCTGCACGCCACAACTAGGGAGCTCGCATGCCACAACTAGAGAAGCCCATGCGCCACAACGACCCAGCACAGCCAAAACAAAAAACAAAAAGAACAGTCTAGTTTTACCTAGAGAGGCTCAATGGATTGGCTACCTGAGGGCACCAATTTTGTCCATCCTGTACTAATCATCTTTAGCTTAGTGCTTTCAGGAAGTGGAAGATTTCTCTGTGGATACAAGATATATGGTCACTCCTATTTAGCCAAACTAAAAAATAAAAATGTAGTGTCAGGTGATCCCATCATCTCTGGGAAACCAGAATGCTCAGAAAACCTCCTGATTATTTGTCAAACTTGTTGATGGCAAAGCCTTTTTAGAAAAGGAACATCCAATCCTGGTAGAGTGTAAATAAAGAGGTCCTGCTCCTGCAAATAGAGGCACAAATTGGTACAATTTTCTGGAGAGCCATCTGGCAATGCACATCAAAGATCTTAAAATATATACTTACGCTTTGACCCAACAACTTGTCCAAGGAAAGAACACAAGCTTGTTCTTTGGCCCCAAATTTAGCCAAAGAATTTGGCTAAATTAGCCAAATTTAGCTAAACTTGGCCCCAAATTTAGCAACAATATATCCCTTGATTATATTATATTAATTATATTAATTTAATTATATTATTTATAATAAAAAACTGAAATTCAGAACCTAAAGGAATAACAGGACTTTGAAAAATAATATATGATACATGTATATAAAGGTAGCTATACAGCTACTAATGTTACAGAAATAATTCATCAATGTGAAAAATTCCACATATTTATATCATCATTGAAAAAAAGATTACAAACCATTGTGTTAGTTAAAATTCTCTAGTAAAAAGTAATAGGAAACCAACTCAAGATAGCTCAAAGAGAAAAGAATAAGAATTTTACCTGGAGAATGTAATATCCAAATAATGAAATATGGGTGAACAGTCAGGCCTCATACAGGAAATAGAAAGCTGTTAAGATCTTTTCTATGTCCTTCATCCTACTTGTTTTTGCATGTCTGCTTCATTCTTCACTTTCATTACAGATCAGCTTTCTAGTAACTCTTCTGAAGTCTTGGCAGAATATGGCTATCCACATGTCCCAATTCTGCAACAGTGTAATTCCAGACAAATCTACATTCAGGGTAAAAATTTAATGAGCCACGCATGACTCCATTATAGCTAGGTGACATCCAGTACCAATGTGGTCTTAAGGGGCCCAAAGAAATGGGGCTTGTGAGAGCTAGATAAGCCATCCCCAGAGGATCTATTACAAGGATGTAGAAGGAAATCTTATTTCTTAATATTAGAAAAAAATTGTCTTCCTAGGAAATTAATAGAAATATATGAAC